ACTTACTTGTTTATTAGGGCTGCCTTACTGAAGTACTACAGATTGGGTGGCTTAAGCAGTAGAAATTTATTTCCTCATAATGCTGGAGGCTAGAAGTTCAAAATCAAGGAGTCAGATTTCATCTGAGGCATCTCTCCTTGGCTGGCTGATGGCGTTTTCTTCCTGTGTCGTTATATGATTTTTCCTTCTGCATGCCTGTGTCCTGGTCTCTTAAAAGGTCGCCAGTGATAATGGATAACCCCCCCCCCCCGCCCCCAAGACTTCATTTAACTCTCTTCAAAGAGCCTATTTCCACAAATAGTCACATTTCCAAAAATAGTGGATTATGACTTCATATAGATCCGGGGGGCACAGTTGAGCCCATAACAGTCACCCACAGGGGTGTCTTACACTGGGCTTTTCTTGTCAGAGGTGGAGCCACCAGCTCTCTCCATGAACATTATTGTTGGTGTTGAATAGGCCTCCCAGACAGACATTTAGCCACTTTCTCTCCATACAGCTGGACTTAGGGTTTTTTCAAGGCCCTGGGAGGCCTCAAAATCAGTTTGGCTCCATAAGGAGGCTTCTGTCAGCTACACTTGGCCAAACTTGTCAGTGGCAGCCAGAGCTGAGGGACTGAAAAGTTCAGATCAGGGGTTGCTGCCGGCTCAAGCTCTGGCTCTTGCTTCATGAGCGTGAACACTGAAATGTAGTCCACCTCCTTCGTAGGAGCTACTCGCAACTGCTCAAGGTTCTGGTGTTTGGAGAGTGCCATCCTGGAGTTTCTTAAGTGGTTTGTCCAGGCGTCAGTGACGGTGTGTGGTTCCTGGGACCAAGTGGGGTACATGAAGTCTCCTGGGTCCAGGTACCAGGGGAAATACAGGGTAGGGGTAGTATGAGCCCTTGCAGCATTGCTGTAGGTAAACATTCTGCCCAAGTAAGCCAACATTTAGTTAAATAAAATGCTCTCATAGTGTCTCAGGAAGTCAAACCTTCTCCTCTTAAGGAGACTAGCTTGATGGCTGTCACTGGGAAGTGTAGAATGAACTAACTAGCGGTTAAAATCTGGCAATGACCTTGATTGACCGGAGATCCCTATGCAGAACTTTATCTTGTATAATGAAGAAGTCCTGGCGGGGTGGAATTGGCCCAGAAATTCCATCTCAGTGCTGGGACACATTTCCTAGGCAGCTGAGGGTTGCCTGGACCGACGGCTGATGCTTCTGGCCCCGGAGGCTTGGGAAGATCCATCCTAGTTTTCCTGAATATGTGTGAGATCACTGAGGGAGAGTCCCCCAGCCCTCTGAGGTGGTTCATGTAGACACCCAGAGTCACTGTGTCTAAGCTAGCTCTGTGACCATGGCCCAGAACTTGACCTCTCTGAGTATCAGTTTTCTCATAAGATGGAGACAAAAATTTTCTAATAGAGTATGATGTTATAAAGAATCACAGAGGATATTGGAAGGTAGCACATCATAGTGGTTAAGTGTGAAAGACCAGGGTTCCTATTCCAGCTTTGCTTCTTGTGATTTGCTCTTAGCCAAGTCTTTAATTTTTATGCTTTCCCTTTTGAAGTTTGTAAAATGGGTGTAATACTATAAGGTCTGTCCTATAGGAATAGTGTGAAGATCAAATGAGATAAGGCCGCTGAAGCACCTCCTTAGTGCTTGTGACATGTAAGAGCTCAGATACACTTACCTTTTTTTATTTTTAATCTTCATCTGAGGATATGTTTATTGATTTTGAGAGAGAGACTGGGGGACAGAAGGGGGGGGAGGGGGGGAGAGAGAGAGAGAGAGAGAGAGAGAGAGAGAGAGAGAGAGAGAGAGAGAGAGAAGAGCATCAACATGAGAGAAACATCAATCAGTTTCTTCCTGCACTCAACCTCCTCTCCTGACCTGGGATCAAACCCTGAACCTAGGTATGTGCCCTAACCAGGGATCAAACCCACAATCTTTAGGGAAATACCATTACTTTTTTTTCTTTCCTTTTTTAAATGAAAGCATTACCAAGGCTGGTATTGAGTTGACTTGAATTTAGAAGTTGCAGAATTAGGCCATCCCTGCTTCGTTTCGTCCTAGTGGTACTTTGCCACGAAGCCAGCAGGTGGCGACATTGCCACATCTTGGCACTGCTGGCCTCAATCTGCAGCTGCAGGAAAATGGTTAGAAATTCAATTCCCTAGGGTGGCAGTGCTCAATTGCTACACTTGTTCTGTATCCCTTGTAAGTTAAAATGTTTCCATAAACAACTAGACCGAGTTGGGTGACTGGATGGACTCCTCTGTAGATAATTCCAGGGCCAGAGACCACATCCTGGCCTTTCTGGGAGCAGTAGCTCTTGCATTCATGACCAGTACTGCGTGTTCCTTGCTAAGGGCTGAATGACCAGCTAGCTACCTAATGCAAGGTCGTCACGTAGCCATTGTGGTGTGGACTGAAGCTTGGGGTGCTGAGGGTGGATTCAGGGGCACTGAACTTCAGTATAATCCCTATTGGCATTTTTTTATCTGAGAGCAGGATTTTAAAACAGAGTCGAGTTTGTTCTGTGTATATATGGGTCTGAGAGTCTAGACGTGAGGTGCCAGGGCCCAGGGAGCACCCCGAAACAGCCAAGTCAAAATGGTCATAAAATAAAAGATGTAAGTTTTCATCAGTGGCAGAATCTCTGAAGAATAGACCAAAAGTAACTTCAGAGTCAGCAGTTCAGTTCTGTGGTGACACGTGCCAGACAGTTAGTTACTAGTCCACTCTAAGATGTGGTGCTTCACAGGTGCTTGAAACGAAAGATAAAATGGAGAAGCCAGCCAGAGGATGGGTTAGGATTGCATAAAACTGATTTTTTTTAAACTTATATTGAACGGGCATGATTCGAATGTACTAACTTAAGTGGACATTTCTGTTGGTTTGAAAACTGTAAATGTGGCAAAGTGGCTAGTCTTTACCTATTATGTTAAATTGTAACAAGGAAGAGACACAGGGTTGGCATGGAAGTTCAAAAAATGGTTTTACCACTTGAGGAGGTTGGGACAGAGTTCTAAATCACGTAACAGGCAGTTCTTCAGCAGAATCTCACCAAATTACCCTTATTTTCTGTTTTGTGGACTTTTTATTTCTTTAGGAAACTGGGGGCCAGAGAGGTAACCATTTTTCCTTGTATATTAATTTTACATTTTCATTTATATTAACATATATTAGTTTATTAACCTGATCTGAAAAGTACTCAGATGTTCGGTTAACCCTCAACTCATGAATTTTTTTTTTCCTCAAGGAGCTACGTTCTCCCATTTAGTGGAAATTTTCCTCATGTGACAATAGATTTAAAGCTTTTCATTAAAAGAAAATGTTCAGGTCAGTTTCTATTAGGTTTCTTAGTAAATCGTCATCTTTGTTGCCTGTTGCTGACAATCTTTAAAAATTTTTATTTATTGATTTTTAGAGAGGGAGTGTGATTTCGCTGTTCCATTAATTTATGCATTCATGGGTTGTATCTTTTATGTGCTTTGACCGGGAATAGAACATGCAACCTCTAACCAGCTGAGCTACTCAGACAGGGCTGTTGGCTGATAATTTAAATACCAAGGTTCTATAGATTCTGTGATTCTGCCTGGAACCTAAGCTCAACAGGGCAGGGTCAGTGGTTAGTTAGGAGGACTGAGATAGTGGATCTCCCATTATGGGGATGTGCCAATCAGGCTGGGGGAGGTGGGTGTAGTTTCCCTTGCTCCAGAGCCACACAACACTCAGTCTGTCCTGGATTCTGCTCAGACCTCGAAAGGGTGGAACCTCCAGGAGCCGGGTGATGTGGCTTGTGGATCTCCCGTTGGGGGGTGTACCATTCAGGTTCATGTTAAAATTGGGGGTCGCCCTCCCCAAAAGCCACACAACTCAGCAACTGGCAGGGCCTGAGATCTGCAAGGTGCTGTGACAGGGATTCTAAAAGTGGGGCTCCTGCATTGCCCTAGGGAGGAACCTCCCCTACAATTTCATTTATTTAATTTTTAGTTAACTGGCTAGTTAATGTTTTAGTTATCTTTTTAATTGTTCCTGTTTGTGTTTCTTAGTCATAAAATTAGATTAGGTCTAGACAGTAGTACCTGGTGTCTTTAACTTTGATTAGTCCCTGAAGGCAAAAACTGTTCCGTTGTTTTCTGGAAAATGCAATGCAATGCTGAAATTTTTTCTTTTTTTTTTTTTTAATTAGAACTACTTTGAATTTAACTTAGAGTTACATTTGGATTTCTTAAATATAATGAGACTAACTTTTCGTGCTATTTCAGACTCCTTTCTCTGTGGTCCCTTACAGCTCTGAATTTAGTGGCACAGGGAAGAAAGAAAATCTGTCTTGTTTCTTTAAATATGTCTATTTTAGAGAAGGGGGAAGAGAGAGTGAGAGAAGCAAATTAATGTGAGAGAGAAACATTGATTGGTCGCCTCCCCTCTGCGCCTGAGGGTGGAACCTCGGCCTCGGTGAGTGCCCTGGCCAGGGGTCTCACCCCCAGCCTTCGGTGTAGGAGGCCACGCTTCAGCCAGCTGAGCCACTCCAGCCCGCGCGCTGTCTTGTTTCTTTATCTAAAGGGTCCATGGGGAGGAATCATTACAAAGTGGCTATACAGGATATTTTCAATCCCAGCAGTCTTTTGAACATTGCTTATTCTATAGCCCATTTAGTAGGGACTAGAAAATTGGTTAGAGAGTACTTTCTGCAACTATATTTGCTTATTTTTAAGTTTGATTTTTTTTTTCTTTAATTAAAGTACCCCTCAGTACTAATTTTTTAAATTATCAGCAATGAATATGATAATATTCAAAAAGAGGACCCACATTTTGGTTATTTCTGGAATACAGGGGCCTTCATATGTGTGTTGAATGAATGTTTTTCAGTCATTTCAGGTTTTAAAAAATAACTAGGGCTTAGCAGGAATGGAGAAGAGCAGCATATGAATAAACGAATTTGCTTAAAATAAAGATTTTGTTTCTAATGAAAACTGATCAAATATGATGCTTTTTTTCCTCCCTTAGATTGGAATAATTGGTGGAACAGGCCTGGATGATCCAGAAATCTTAGAAGGAAGAACTGAGAAATATGTGGATACTCCATTTGGCAAGGTTAATACTAATCCCCAAACACTAACACCCAGTTAATGGAGACATACTACCTTTTTCCTTTCTCCTCGCTGGCTTGATTTTTCAATTAAAAGAAAATTCTATAATTGCTTTTGTCTAATCTGCCCAGGGCCACCCACCCCAGGCTGAGAATCCTGTCAGTGGGCTCTGCCAGCCGAGACAGTGTCTCTGAGGGTGTCTTGCACTTTCCTGTTCTGAATATGTGCAGGTTACTTCTCACTTTATATTCCTAGAAGCCACCCACTCCTTTTAGACATAGCAACTGAACCCTTCAGTTCTCTGCATTTAAAGTATTTAAATCAGTTTCTGATTTAGAGCAGATAGGTCACATCACACTAACTTAGGAAATAGATTGTGGGAGGGAACATTGTAAAGTAAGCCCTGGCCCACGGTGGGAGGATGTCTTGGGGATTTATAACATGACTGCATAACTGCACTGGAAATAAAAGCCTCCTCTTCTGTTAAAAGTGGGCTGTTTGTTCTCCCAACCCCGTGTCACCCAGCTCGGGTGCCGGTGTCTGCTTCCTTATTCCAGTGTTACTTCTAGACATTGCACTTCTTTGATCCTGCTGTGACGATCCGTGCATCTGCCAATCCCAACCAAACCCTCTTTTTCAGTCACTTTCTTAGAGTGGCCTCATGTCCCCCAAGTTGTCCTGTAAGCTTGGCTCACTTCCTAACCTTTTTTCTTACACCCCCTGGTTCTCAGGTCCTTCCCCTCCCTCACCTCAGGGCACCCAGGGCTGTCTTCTCATTGGTTAGCAGAGCAAACAGCTCCAGTGCGGAGTTCCTAAATCCCCTGGCAGCCTCCTCTCCCCTCTCCGCTTCCTTCTCACACCTGACAGATACCTTGAAGCAGCTGTTTTTGACCAGTCTGCTATCAGAGTCCCCTGGGCTGCCTGCTACAAATAGGTCTCCCTAAACGACACCTACCCCGTGCACCTGCGGCAACATTCTGACTCACATGAATCTCTGTGCTTGCAAAGGGCTCAGGAAATACTTATCGAGTGATTATCCATCACATCTAGACTCTGACTTTTTTAGAGTGTATCTTCAAACTCCAAGTTACCATGAATCTTGTCAAGGTTGAACGGTTGAAGTGGCAGCTTTTAAATTGTTTATGTATGTTTTGAAATCACTGAATCATAACCATTATTCATTCTGTGTAGCCTTCTGATGCCTTAATTTTGGGGAAGATAAAGAATGTTGATTGCGTCCTCCTTGCAAGGTAAGGTATTTTAAGTTTTTTGAGTGTTTCTGCTAAAGGAGAATTTAAATTTAACTTAAAATCTGGAAGGAGTTTTGTGTGTTGGTGGAGCGCAAGCATCTTGGTCATTTTCACTTGCCACTTAGGGTCTTGGGGTCTGTTAGACCGCCTTAGGCCTCCCCCCACCCCTTTGGCTGGGAGGCAGTTGTAACAATTCAGTGAGTGGCGCATTTGACTAACCTTGAAGCTCTAGTTTCCTTTCCTTCTAGCTGCAAGAAGAAATGTTTTCTTCTGGGTTCTTTTTTTCCTCCAAGTGAACAAGATAAAAAGCACTTCATTCATGACCGCTTGTGAATATTACTATAGTTTAAGTTTGTGGGAAGTGGGTTTGGTCCCTGAAGTGTGTTCCCCTGTGGTTTCCACGTGTCCTTGACAAGTCTAGTGCAGTTCTAGATTGTAGAGGGAGAAAAGCATTTGTTAACACATCATCCAGAAAGTACATGTGTTAGTTTTCTATGGCTGCATGAGAAATTACCACAAAGTTAGCAACTTAAAACAGCGCACATGATCTCATAGTTTCCAGGAGTCAGTGTGGGCATAGCTTAGCTGGGTCCTCTCTTCAGACTGACACAAGGCAGAGTCAAGGGTTCGTTCTCAGCTGGAGCTCCAGACCCACATTCAGGCTCACGTGGTGGTTGGCAGAATTCAGTTCCTTGAGGTTGTAGGACTAAGGCCTTTGGCTCCTCGAGGCTGTCCATATCCTCCTCCATGTGACCCTCCCCATGGGCAGGCAGTTCATGAGACCAGCCTTCTCCTTCAAGGCCAGCAGGAGGGTCTCTGCTGTCAGGGTGGAGCCCAGCATGGGCCTGACTGCCAGTAGCGTTGCTGCCTCCCATTGGTTGGAAATCAGTCTCAGATCGACCTGCTGGCAAGGTGTCAGCAGGATTGGTTTCTTCTGCGGGCCGGAGGGAGATAACCATCTTTTTCCTGTATCTTCCCATGTTTTCTGCCTTCTTTGTGTGTCTGTGTCCAGCTTTTCTCTTCTTCTAAGGGTACCATTTATGTTAAATTAGGGCCCACCCTAATGACCTCATTTTAACTTAATTGCCCTTTTTTAAAAGATTTCTATTTATTTTAGACAGAGGGGAAGGGAGGGAGAAAGAGGGAGAGAAACATCAGTGTGTGGTTGCCTCTCACGCACCACCTGCTGGGGAGCTTGCCTGCAACCCAAGTATGTACCCTGACTGGGAATCGAACCGGCCACCCTTTGCTTTGCAGGCTGGTGCTCAATCCACCAAGCCACACCAGCCAGAGCTGATTACGCTATTAAAGACCTTGTTTCCAAATATGATCACATTCTGCTTGTGCTAGGGGGTGGGAATTCAACATGTGAAGGAGGGGCACTGTTTCCCCCAGCATGGGTCATGCAGGAGGCAATCTCTTCTCAGAGGAAATCTTCTAATGTCATCATAAACAGGGAATTCTCATATCCTAAACATTTCAATAACTAATTTCAGAAATCAGACAGAAGGAATGGAGAGAATCAACTGGAAACTTGAGTTTTTATGTCTGTTTTGTCCTTTATTGGCATTTTGTTTTCTGTGTCATGGTTCATGTAAGAACAGATGCCTCAGATGTGGGGGAGGTGTTTAGTGCCCCACAAAGTAGACACAATACATCTTCCTGGAGAGGGAATTCTAAGTGAGTTATTACGTGCTCTTGACAGGAAAATGAATACACAGAATGTAAAGCTAGCCTGCGCTTTAGAGTTGGCTAGTTATCACCCAGCCTCTTTTTTTTTTTTTTTTTCCTCTGCCAATGAAAGCATTTTGGTGGAAAGGGCTGGAAGGCACTACTGTAAATTAGTTTTCTTTTCTAACGGAATTCAAATGTGCTACCGTCTCACCCACCATATTTGCTCTTCTTCCTGCAGGCATGGGAGGCAGCATACCATCATGCCTTCAAAAGTCAATTATCAGGCGAACATCTGGGCTCTGAAGGAGGAGGGTTGTACTCATGTCATAGTGACCACAGCTTGCGGTTCCCTGAGGGAAGAGGTTCAGCCCGGTGATATCGTTATCATTGATCAGTTCATCGACAGGTGAGCAGCCATCTACAATGCTTTAGGCACTGGTAAGGTCATTCCTGGCCCAAACGAGCAATGTGTGGGGACTTGGGGGAGGCGGGGACGGACCCACAGACTTGTTTTAAGCTTTTTATTTGGGGAGTTTTTAAACAAATACAAAATAGAATAATAATCATAGACTCTCACGTCCTTAATTCCCAGGTTCACTGCAGTTTGTAACTTTAAAACATAAGGATTCTTTAAAAAAACAAAAACAGTTACTTAATGTTTCCTCGGTATTAGGTATCTAGGCAGTGTTCTCCTTTTCCCTATCGTCTCACATACTTTCTTTTTATAGTTGGTTTATCAAAGGAAGGGCCCGAGGAGGTCCACTGGTTACACACAGGAGTGTGTTAAGAAGCTTCTTTGTCCAGAGGTTTCCATCCCCTTGTTTCCTTTCTTCTCCTGGGGACTCCCCACAAGCTGGATTTTACTGATTGCATCCCTAAGTGTCATTCAGTGTCTTCCGCTGTCTCCTGTCTTTGCCAAAAATCAGTGGTTAGCTCTGATGTCCTGATCAGAACCTGGTTCAAATTCTTGGCAGGAATCCTCTACGTCTTATCAGGAGGCGTGTACTGTCTGGTTGTTTTCTCCTTATGTTAAGATCCATAGTTGGCTCAGGAGCTAGGGATTCTTTCTTACCGGCACAAGTAATATATAATGCTTCTTTACACAAAAAATTAAACAGTAACAGGCTGCCAAGATCCTGAGCTGCTTCTGCCTTTAGAAGTAGTCGACGAAATCACAAGGGAAAGGCAGGGTCTGGTGTGGATTCCTGCCCTTCTCCCTGCACCCCCCCCCCCGGCCCCGCCCCATTCCTGGTGCTCCCAGGGTGCTCTGGATAGAGCTGGGTGACTGTGCTCTGCGTCCTGATCCAGAGGTAGGGACAAGTGCCAGGGAGTGTAAACCGGTTGGTGGTTCCTGCCGGAGTCCCCCATTCAGTCACACCTCAGTCAGTCATTCTGCTCCTTCCGTCCGTTATCTCTGACCTTACTATACCCAGTGCCTCTCCTTTGTCTCCTGTTATGGGAGGAAGTTTATCCAGCCTAGTTCTGTGTTTCTTCTGCTTTTCAGGGATTCGTTGTAATTTGTAGTCCGTTAGAAGCATTCCTGATTGTTTCCAAATGAAATGAAACTGTCAGATTGATCCATATGAAGTTGGCTGTTCTATAAATTAGAAATGGTTGGATATTGGCAATTTCATGTGGTTCAACCTAATAAATAACAGGGGTAGACTAAAACCATTACATGCTCCTCCCCTGTCATTTTTCCTATGGGATTTTTAGCACCTGACATTATGTAGGCATCGTCCGTCTTCCCCTCTAGAATGTAAACCATGTGAGGGCAGAGACCCTGTCTGTTCCCTTTGCCACTTTATCCCTAACACCCACAGCACTGCCTGGCCTGTAGTTGCTCAGTCAGTATTTTTTGATTCTTTTTTTTTTTAATCCTTACCCAAGGATATGTTGTATTGACTCGGGATTGAACTTGCAACCTTTTGGCGTATGGGACGATGCTCTACAGCTGAGCCAGGCAGCCAGGGCACGTCAGTAGTTTTCTGAGTGATTGAATGAATGTGATTACTTCAAGGGTGAGGGAGGCTAGAGTGTGTGTTTAGGGGACATCTTCCTCAAAATCTCCATCGCTGTCAGAGTCTCTGTGTTTGGAGATAATAGTTTAAGAAAATGGTTGTAATATGGTTGTTTAATAAAACAAAGTATAAAACTCCATATTCAGAATGATCTGGATTTATAAAATATTTTAGATAATACTAGAAAGAAAAGGCTGACTTGGGCACTAAGCCTGGTGTTAATTTGTTACTTAAGTGTGTAACTGTACACTGTCGAATTTCCCACCTTTTTTTCTCCACATGTGCTCCTTCAAGAAAGCAATTGGGGCATAAAGAGAGAGAATAAAGAACAAGTGTTGCCATTAAATCGAGTTTCGTTGTATCTTGGTACTTCTTAGCTGTGTGACCTTAAAATCTTCTGGTATCTGTTTTATTTCATGTGCTCTGTGGATAGACTGTCTTCTTAGTCTTACCTTGAAAGTTCAAAATCACTAGCAAGTGCCTTCTGTGGGATCTAGAGTATTTTACCTGCCCTCTGCGTAGGTGCCATTATTGTGGCTTTGGGCATGTTGATCTAAGGAGTTCATAGTCAACATTACTTAGCAACAAAAAAAAGGAAAGATCTGTTAAAAGAATCACTAAAGGAATATCATTTAGAATGAAATCTCAAATTTTATATTGAGTATATATTGCAATAATAACACTTTGGATATTTTAGGTTAGGTAAGATATTAAAGCTGATCTTACCTCTTTCTCTTTTACTTTTAAATGTGACTACTAGAAAATTTTAAATGACATGCGTGGCTTGTGTTGTATTGCTATTAGGTGGCATCTTCTAAATGATACAGCCACAGTTTGAGCCATGCAGTTTCCAGTTAACCATGCTTAGGCACATACCGAATTCAACGTATGTTCGAAAGTCTCGTAGAAGAGAATCAAAACTTTTTGCCGTGTGAGTAACACCCTGTGTTGTAATGATAGGACACTTTCTTAATAAAGTAAATTTTGGTGTGTTGAGGCAGGCACTGATAACTCCCCTTGGCGATGTCAGCCAGCACAGAATGCTGAGCTAGTGGCTGTGCTTTTTGTAGCCCAAGGTTCCCAAGCCAGACCCACAGCCTCCACTCATTTGACAGAATCGCAGCGTTCCGCAGAGCCTCCCAGTGGGTTACGGCCTAGCTGGGGTGGCAGTAGCCCTGGGTCAGGAGGCTTTGTCTTGGCTCCGATTTGGCCTTGGCTAAAACACTTTGCCCAGGGGGCCCTTGGTCCTCTCTTCAAAATCAAGGATTGAACTCCACATCACTTAGCTCCTTCCCCATGCACTCTGCCTGAATTCTTCTTCAGGGACTGAGCTCAAACCATACACGTTGGCCTGTTGCTATAACTTTGCCAGCATGTCATTTTGGCAAAAATAGTCTCATCCTAAAGTGGTCTTCAGAGGCTAAAAGGGTTGTTTTAAGCTCCCTAACATAAATTTCTAATAAAGAAAGAATCAGAATAGACTAATATGGCTGTTTGTAATTAATAGATGGCAGAACCAAAGCATGTGGTTTTCTCTACCCTCATTGTCCAGCAGAGGGGAGAAGAAACACGCCAACCCAGCGTAGCAGCTGCTCTGTGCGTGCCTTAGATCGACGAGTGATAGGTGGCTCTGGTGTGTATGATTGTTTTTAAAAACATTAGATTTGTACTCTAAAAATGAAATATGCCCTTAAACAAGTCTGACAGGCTGGAAGCTCTTTTAGGAAAGTAGGTCATTCTCTTCTAAAACAAATCCACGCCCCCCTGCCCCCCATGCTACACAACAGCATTTGAAAAGCTGAATGTCTGGGCACGAGAAGAGGGGGCTCCTGGGTGCGCCTGGCTGGAAATAGCAGGATGGCACACAGGTGGGAGGGGAGCGGTTCCAGGTATTTCTGGGTGTGCGTAGTCAGCCCCTGCATCTGTTTCTTAGACATGCGATGACAGAGCTAATATTTAAAGGGAAAATAATCTTTCATGTGTATTTACGGCAGCCTTAGAAAACAAAATGTACCCAGGTCTAGAATACCAACTGTTTTTGTTATTTTTCCCGCTTTTACTGCGCAGCAACAGACTTCTTGACTCTGCCTTGCCCTGGGTTCTGGGCTCCGTGTGCTGTGTTCTTCAGAAATCCAGAATTACAAATTAAAGGAACTTGCAGGTGGCTTGGTTGCAGGAAGTTTCCCCAGTGCCTTCTGCCTCTCGCCGTGTTGAGTTAGATTAATTCATTTCTTCTACCTTGGTGGCGGCCTCCATCATCAGCCATAGGTCGTTGGTTAAGAGGGGAGCTTGTTCCACCTCTTGACAGTCGTTTGAACTAGGGAAGGAACACCTGGCCTTCCGTCTGTCCTAAGAGAATGTTGTGAGGTTATTTATGGTTTAAAAGGATCTCATAAGGGAGTTGCTCCAAGATTTGTATTTGGGGGTTCTTCTCCTGTGGTACCAACCCTTGTCTCTGCAGGGTTTGCCTGGCTGTCACAGTGTCACCTGTGGGGAACTAACTGTAGCAAGACTGTGAGTGGGAGAAAGAAAAACACCTCCTAAGTGAACCATAGTCTATTCCCCTGCCTGTGGCATGGCGAGGGCCCCATCAAATTCTGAGACAAAATCTCAAAGTTTAGAAGCATAACTGTGGATTTACTTGGCTTCTGTTTTTACTTTCAGCCTGGTTATCTGGAAAGCTCTACCCACCCTGCTTTTAAAGCATGACTTGCCCAGTTCATCATAAAGTGGAGGGTAGAAGCGATTTCTTCTTGTTATTCAGTCTCTTGTTTTTCCCCCATTACCACTCATCCCCCTTGTACCACTTGCCCCCCGATAATTACCACCCTGTTGTCCGTGAGTCCTTTTCCTTGATTCCTCCATCCAGTAACACCACCCCCCCCCCACCGCAAAAGCTGTCATCTGTTCTCCATCTGTGAGTCAGTCTCTGTTTTGCACATTAGTTCAGTTTGTTCATTAGATTCCACATATGAGTGAAATCATGTTCTTTCTCTGGCTTCATCTCACTTAGCATAATATTCTCTAGGTCAATCCATGCTATCACAAAGGGTAAAATTTTCTTCTTTTTTATAGACAAGTAGTAATTCCATTGTGTAAATGTCCCATAGGTATTTTATCCACTCATTTACTGATGGACACTTGGGCTGCTTCCATATCTTGGCAGTTGTAAATAACACTGCAATGAACATAGGGGTGCTTATGTTCTTACAAATTAGTGTTTTGTGTTTTCTTCAGATATAGTCCCAAAAGTGGGATCGCTGGGTCAAAAGGCAGATCCTATTTTAATTTCGGGGGTATTTCTATACTGCTTTCCACAGTGGCTGCACCAGTCTGCATTTCCACCAACAGTGCAAGTGTCTCCCTTTCTCCACATCCTCACCAA